CTGGCCTTGAACTCATAGAGATCCACCTGCCTCTGCCTCCCAAGTGCTGGGATTAAAGGCATGCGCCACCACGCCCAGTAATTTTATTATTTCTATTTTAAGTGTATGCGTGTATTGCCTGCATGTAGGTAAGTGCACCCATGTCATGCAGCCTGCGGAGGTCAGAAGAGGCTGGGACTGGAGTTATGAACAGTTGTTAGCTGCCATGTGGGTGCTAGAATTTGAACCTGGGTCTTCTGCAAGAACAACCAGTGTTCTTAAGAACAAGCAGTGTTCTTAACCACTGAGCCATCTCTCCAGCCCCTGAATTGTCTATTTTTATAGATTTATTTATTATTTTTATTTATGTATGTGTATGCATGTACCTGTGTGCATTCATGTGCACCACATGCATACAGGTGCCCATGGAGGCCAGACAGTTGGAGTTATAGGCAGTTATGAGCTACCTAATGTGGATGCTGGGAACCAAACTTCAGACTTCCGCAAGAGCTCTTAACTGTTGAACCATCTTTCCAGTGCCATATTGACTTTTTTTTTTTTTTTTTTTTTGTCTTTTTGAAGCAGGGTCTGCCTGTAGTCCCAGCTATCCTGGAACTCACTATGTAGACCAGGCTGCCTTGAACTCACAGAGATCTACCTGCCTCTGCCTCCCAAGTGCTGGGATTACAGGCATGCACCACCATGCCCAGCTATATTGACTATTTTTAAAAAGAATTATTTATTTTTATTTTATGTGTACTAGTACTTTCCCTGTGTATATATGTGTACCACATGCATGCATTACCTGTGGAGATCAGAAGAGGGTGTTGAGACCCCTGGAACTGGAGTTACAGCCATTTGTGAGCCATTAAGTGGGTGCTGGGAACTGAGCCCCAGTTCTCTACAAGAGCAGCAAGTACTCTTAACCACTGAGCCATCTCTCTAGCCCCAAATCGTCTATTTGTATTCTGTGGTTTTTCTTTTGTAGTTGATTGTGCTACAATTACTGAGTTATAAGAGTTCTTTGTGGTACTGGAGAGATGGCTCAGTGGTTAAGAACACTGGTTGTTCTTGCAGAAGACCCGGGTTTGAATCCCAGCACCCACATGACAGCTAACAACTGTCTGTAACTCCAGTCCCAGAGGATCCAACAGCCTCTTCTGTCCTCCGTGGGCATTGTACAACATGGGTGCACTTACCTACATGCAGGCAATACATGCATACACATAAAAAATGTTCTTTGCATATTAAGGTAATCAACAGTATATAAAGAGGCTGCCACTATTTAAAAGACTTCTTCAGATTTTTATTTATTTTTATTTTATGTGTATGAGTGTTATGCCTGTGTGTATGTAAGTGTTCCCATGTCATACAGTGCCGGTGGAGGCCAGAAGAGGGCATTGGATCCCCTGGAACTGGAGTTACAGACAGTTGTTAGCCACCATGTGGATGCTGGGATTTGAACCTGGGTCTTCTACAAAAGCAACCAGTACTCTTAACCACTGAGCCATCTCTCTAGCCCTTAAAAGACTTTTTGAGAAATTCTTCCAGAAACTGGGTTGTCTGGGCAACAAAATGTGCATGTAGGAGCAAAGCGTTTGTGGAACAGAGCCAGGGCTGGTCCTGTCCCATTAGCCTCAGGAACCTCTCAGGCCAAGCCAGTGTTAAGATGTCCTGCCTACCATCATTCACACAGGGTCACCTTTTCACCTATAGCCATTCTCTTTGCATCCCAGATGGACACTCCCCCAATGGGCTCCAGCAGGACTCTCAGGAGAACTGCACCTGACTTATGAGTCCTACCCATTGGTTACCCTGACTGAATTTCCAGATGGTAGCCTTGCTACAGATGACTCTGAAGCTTAGAGATCACAGACATTCCAAGGGCATGGACCCACCTGGGACCTGAGGCCCATGCCTGGGAGAACCTAATCACCAACTAACATATGTTCGGACCAGGTGGGCCACGGTGGGCCTCAGGCTTGCTGTCCTGTGACAGGCATAGCCCCATTGGAGGGCCCAGGCTGGGTTTTCTAGGTATCTGGCCTAGCCCCTCTATCTCACCTATAGATTCCATACTGGTCCTATTCCTCTGCTCTAACCCTCTCCCTCTCTTCCCTGTCCCCAGCTCTTGGCCACATTCATATGTCCCCAGCCCACTGGGGACCCAGCTGTCCACACAGCCTCCTCCTTGCACTTTCCCTGTTCCTTCTCACCTTTGCTTCCTCCGGAGTTCTAGCCACAGCACCATGAATGCACGCACATACACATGTACACACACGTACATCTTAGCGTGGGATCCTGATTTGCAGCCGCTCTTGACAGCTCTTTCTTACCACACTCAAGACCTGGATGCTGCTCAGGACTCCTGAGGACTATGGAAGTGAGGGGTCAACCTCACTCATTTTGGCCATGTAGAAAAGATCTAAATTTAAATGTTATTAAAACACCAGAGAACTGTTTTGATTGGTAAGGAGTACATGGTTTTAGGCTGTACAGCACTGTGGTTTTCCAGGGTCTGCCTGTGGGTGGAGACACTGAAGGTTTGAGTATGTTGGTGGAATGCTGAGACTGATGTATCAAACATGATCAGGAGGCTTTGGAGTAGACCTGCCCACCAGGGTCTCCTGAGTGTATTTGAAATGCACATACCTGCTGTTCAAGTTGGGAATTTACCCACCAGATACTTCAACACACAGGTGTATAGACCTAAGGAAAACTGCTTGCTTCAAAATTGTGTAATAGCAGACAATAAAAGTTGTTGTCACTTATGCCCTACAGGGTGTCCATAAGTGCTGTGCCCTGAGACAAATGGTACTTACTGATCATATGCTTTATACAGGGGCCTGTGTAGCCATCTGGAGTGCCCACAGCAGTCATTAGTCTGGAGACCTTTGGCACCTGGTTTGGGAACCTATGTGGGGGCCTAGTTTCAGAGGTCAGGAGGCAGGCTGGCAGTGGGGGCTGTCCTTGTAGGGCCAGTGGCTGGGCTGGGCCAGATCGCTTCCCTTTATGCACTTACTCTGGACAGGCATGGTGCCACCCACAGAGTAGCCAACTCCCCACCTTGTGCTCGGGTGCTTGAGTGCCATGTCTCCTTATGTGATATTTCTGAGTTGAAGAGCTGACCAGGTGGGAGGCTGGATGAGTGCGGGCTGCAGTCCTGAGTGTGCTCCTACTGGCTGGGGTGGGCAATCCCTGCTGTGCTTTGACAGTGACAGAGCAGGCCTTGGGGAAGGGGCAGGCCAGACTGGAGAGCAGGACAGGGAAAGCCAGGGAGAGGTCAGATAGGAGGCAGTCTGAAGTGGGTAGCCACTTGGCTATTACAGGCAGTGGGTGTTTGCTGGGAGGGCATAGACAGCCCAGCATAGTTGTGACAGGCTCAGTAAGGAGACCGTGTGCCTTTTAATGCTTCCCCAAAGTCAGGGTGATGTGGACACACCTCCCCATGCCAACCAGTTGCCATTCTTCACCCCATGTGCGCAGATGTGGGGCCTCTTATACACAGGTAATGCAGACAGTGGGCATCCATCCTACCTGCTCAGAGGAGGTGGTCAAGCTGCGCATCTCCAAGCGTTCAGGCCTGGACCCTACTGTGACCGGTTGTTGAGGTTAAAGCACCATCCCTGCCAAACTGAGGGCACACATGTGCCATCACCCACTAGGAGGCTCCTCAGTCAGCTGGACCCAGGTACGAAGGCTTTCGAGTAGAACACATTGCTAGGGGGCATAGGAGCCACTGTGATGGGCATTATGCCAGGTGCATGATAAAGCTGCCTTGAACAGGTGAGCTGTGTCAGGTCATGGTAGCTCGGAAACTGGACTGAGAGGGGAGGACATCAAGGATTCAGCACTCCGAAAGACATCCTGAGAACCCCGTCTGTGAAGTCATTGCTGTTCCCCACATGCATGGGTACTGAGAAGCTAGGCTCACTCTCAGTATCTCCTGGGCAGTCTCAAGTGCTGTTCCTTGTGCACTGTTAGGGGAGCTGGCCTCCCTTCCTGCCCGTGCAGAGTGAGCACTGTGCTGGCTCATTTCCCTCTCGCCCAGAAGGTGGAGATGCTGCCTTGTGCACTGCCGGTGGACCCATTGCACATGCGATTTAGCTACAGCTTTGCAGGACCAGGCTGGTCAAGTCAGCAACCGAAGTCTCAGGGCTTTGCTGGTCATTGTAATCTTTTAAGGAGGGAGACATTAGTAAAAGTCTCCTGCCCCTGTCAGGTCACCTCTTAGTCTGACATAGCATCCTCTACAAGCCCCAGCAGGATGTCCTGAGATCCTGAGATGTCTCCCTTGCTCATTGTCTCCCTTAGACATTCTTGGACTGGAGTCCTTTGGGACTGTTCTCCCTGCTGGGGTTCCCTCAAGATGCCCTCTGGCAGGTTGAGGGTCTGAACAGCAGCTCTAGTGGGCTTTGAGTCTCTGAGGGCCTCATCTGGGCATTGTGATGCCTACTCCACTATGGCTCTGCAGAGTCAGGACTGCCTTTGATGCAGACATAGGGCCTCCTAAAGACATTCTTACCAGAATATTATACCTCCTAGGCTGTTTTGTTAAGAGCCCACTATACGTTTTTATCATTTCAAAATGTTTTTGTAGCACTGCAGTGCTCTCTCTGAAATACTGACATGGGGGCAGGGGCTCTCTCATTTCCAATCCATCCCTCGAAGGTCTTATGTGCAATTGTGGGTGGCATGGCCAGGAAAATATGACAGTTGATTTACGCTGACTTCACTCATCGTTGGCAGGACTAACAGACCTTGGAGCCTCTCCTGGAGATTCCAGAAGACATCCATGGAGCACCGTGTGTCCTGCAGGGATGGCCCCAGGGAGCATTCAGCTCACACCTGTACCCTGATGCCCTCTTTGGCCTGGCCAGCCTTCCTGGGCTCCCAGTGCCAGATAATGATGACCTGGGCAGAAACCCACATGTGGGCTGCCCATGTCTGAACCCCCTGGCATTTCTGGAGTGCCAATAAAGAGGGTGTTTTCCTACACTGTGTTCTGCTTGTGGTATCCTGGGGATTGCCCAGTGGAGCAGGACCTGGCCATCCTACCAGCCCCTTCAAATATGAGTAACTTCCAAGCAAGGTCTGCTGGCACCAGGAGCATGATCTGTGGAACTATCTGGAACATCTGGAGCACTGAGCACTGAGTTCTGAAGTTCCCAGCAGTCACTGGGAGAAGTGATCCTGACCCATTGACCTTCCGGATACCTGGCAGGACACAGCACCCTTCCATCATCCTCAGCTTCCCTTGAGCTGCTGACTCAGGCCTGAAGACCCCTTCCTAGGGATCCTTCCTGGACCCTCTGTCTGGGTCACCCCTGCGGTCTCTGTGTGCATCTTGAAGCAAGAGTGGCTTAATTCCCAGCAGTTCATCAGGGTCATGGGGCAAGAGGAAGGATTTTGTGGGGTTGTTTGAGGTTTTCTGTTCCTGAACAGAGCAGAGTGTTGGTCACCCTGTTAGGTTTCTCTTGTGGCCCTCCAAGTCAGCTTTTGGGCTACATTTTGGCTAATCCTTCAGATTGAAACTTGAAGGGCCAGGGAGCGCCTGTCAGTCACTGCTGGGAGAAGCAGCCTGACAGCAAGGGGCAGGGCCCTGCATTATGCTGAGGCATTAGCAGCGGCTAATCTCGTCTTCCTTAAGAAAACATCACTTAGTCGGCTGGCCCGCCCCCGGAGCCCTGGATGGGACCCTGCTTGTCAGCCAACAAAGGAATGTGTTTGCACCTTAATGGGCCTACAGGAGCCTGGCTCACAGTGGAAGTGTGGTGCTCTCAGACGCCCAATTAAGACGCCAAGTGCTGGGCTGGGCCCGGCCCTCCTGACAAGTGTAGAGCCAGATCAGCCGTGTCCCATTTAATGCAAGGATGGTGGCGCGCCCCAGCCTGCCGGGATCCTGGGGCTGTGTGAGAGTGTGTGTGTGTGTTGGGCGGGGGATGTTCCTCTAGCGTGAGGTTTTATCTGCCTTGGAGGCAAAAGAGGTCAACTAACACCTGCTGCCTGGGGCCAGTGGGGTGGGGGCCCTCTGGGTCCTGGCCAGGCACATCCCATAGATACCACAGCCCTGAGGGCAGACCAGGCCATGGGCAAGCAAGCATCTGGAAATGGCCTTAGTGCTTGGTGATGATAGAAAGATGCAGCCTGTGAAGGCCACATACCAAGCAGCTCTGAGGGAAGAGCTCCTTGCCCACACAGCCAGCCTGTGCCACCCATACAGCCATGTCTCCATGTCTCCACAGCTCCTGCAGGTAGTCTTCTTTTACATCCTCCTTCCCAGCACAGATTTTACACCAGCCCTTCTGCCACTGGAATCTTTGCTCTTGTGCCACTTTCTAGAGGGATCTAGATATCCACACAACCCATGTTCCAGTGGCCTCAGATCCTGGCTCCCGCTGCATTCCTGGGAAATGATGAGCAGGGGTCTGTCCAGCTCACAAGCAGGAAGTGCTACAGGGAAAAGTCAACTAGAGGGATCAGCTACTACCCAAGCCACTTTTGGATGGGTCAGTGCAGCAATACACACTAGCCTGGTTCTGGGGCCCAGGAACAGGTTCAGGAGATCCCAAAGGCAGACTGTTCTAGTGACACCTCGGCCCAGAGCGTCCCCTTAGGCATCTGTGGAATCAAGACCAGGAGGATGCCAAAGGATCAGTTTTGTACAGACCAGTAGTTGCTCTGTGCTGTGGTGCCCCATGCTCAGGCAGGGCCAGTGGCAGGACCAGGACCTATGAGCTGTACTAGCAATGGCTTCTGTCCTGAGTGTCCTGCCTGATTACAGGATCACTGCATGACCAACCCCCTTCTGGGCCAGAAAATACAAGGAGAAGCTGGAGTGCCCCAGGGCCAGGTGCTCCCTGGGGCCGCCTCTTCTCTGCCTTTGCATGTTTTTATGGTGCAATGAAAATATGATTTTAATTCCTCAGATTGTTCCATGTAACCTGCAATTACCCCCGGCAATTTCTTGTACACTTCTTGTGGCTCTGGATTGCATAAGGACATGAGAAGGAGAAAAGCGGTAGAAGCTCCCTCCTGCCTCACTCTCCCCTCTTCCTTCCCCAGCACCCTGCCCTTCATCCCCACTCCATGCTGTCTTGAGACCCACTATGCAGTGGGTACACAGAGGAGGGTGACAGGCAGTTTCAAGGACGTGGGACTGAGGGTGCAGCATAGGACAGAGCCCAGCAAGGCCTCTGAGGGCGGCCTGGGGCTTAACAGCTAGAGATATAAAGGGGGCATCAGTTCTTGGGGTGCTGAGTTTCCCATCACTCCAAGCATCACAAAGCCCTGTGGGGATTCGTAGGTCCACTCAAGAGGCAACAGAGGGCACATGCTTTCAACTGTTCTGGCCATGTACCCTTGCCAGCCAATGAAGTTGCCCTTGAGAAACAGTACAGTGTCTGCCTGAGGCCTCAGTTGTGAGGTCCACAGGTTTGTTCTTCGGTGTCTTGGCAAACAGATCACTTCCACATGTGGCCACTCCAGTCTTGGTGCCCGGGCAGAAGCCAGGAGGTGCCACCAGTGTCTGGGGGCCCTGGCCTACTCTCTAGTCCCTTGCATACTCAAGAGGCAAGCCTAAGCCCCCATTCAGCACTCACTTGCTGTGTATAGTTGCCTGTAGCTGTGGGCATGCCAGGACCTGAACAAGGACACCCTGAGACATCTGGCCAGTGTGCCTGTCAGGAAGGCTATGCCCTTGAAAAGACCCAGATCTACAAGGCTATGTCATTATTCAGGTTCAAGGTGCCAGATCACCCCATCAGGAGCCTCCCCCACATGGAACACATAATTGTGTGCACTGGACTGTCTGCTCTTGCCCCCCTCAGCACCCTGTACCCCTCTGGATGCCACTTCCCCTGCACCCAGTAATCTTGAGTACCACAATTTAGACAAGGGCCACTTGCAATACCTGACTAAATGCATTGGACTCTCTTGCCCTGGCCTCTGCCTGTCTGTCCACCCACCCTTCTAGTCAGCCCATTCACTTGGTACCACTTGAGATACACAGTGCAGGCAGGGGGATAATAGACAGGGACAGTGTGTATAGATCACTGCCAGACACCGTGGGCATTCCCAATTTAACTGTGGCTGGTACCCGAGGCCAGCAGGTGAGCCTGGAATGCTGAGAAGTGAGCAGTGGAGTCCCAGTTCCCTTTGGAAGCATCTGTGAACCAATTTTCCCATCCTGGTGACCTGAGCCAGGCTTGACTCCTTGGGACCAGCCCTAACCCCAGTCCCAGCCCTGAAGGAAGATGTGCTCATCTGGCACCAACCTTACAGTATATGGACTTTACTGAACATAGGAGCCTTAACCCAGAACAATCTCTAGTGGAGATTAAAACAGGGGCAGGGATGAGATGCCATCCCCTCCCCATACCAGGTGTCCTGCTTTAGCAGGGCCTGGACTTGGAGGACTACCTCTCAGCAAGAGCTCTGCCAGCCCTCAGCCCCACATTGCCAGTGGGGGCTGTCCATCTATGTAGGCTCCAGCCTATGCCCACTTCACAGGGAAATGGTTGACTGGACCCTGCTTCCCAGGCTTCTGTGGAACTCAGGCAGCAGCCCCAAGCCTGCCCTGATGAGCCCCCCAGCACAAAGATGCCTTTGAGGACCCTAGGCTGAGCATAGGTTCTGCCAGCTTTGGGCTGCCTACATCATGTCTTCCTTCTCCATCCCCAGAAAGTACTGGTACCAATGGAGCCAGCCAAATCCACAGGACTTCATTTTCTGCCCTGGCCTCAGGCTGGATGCTACCCAGCTTTGGGACCTGCCCTAGGTGCTTCCTGACGAGCACAGATAAATAAACAGATCTACACACTGGTGCCTGCCCCCACAGCAGAAGGCAGGAGGAGCTGCCAGGCTCAGGCCCCACTTGCCCCTCATGCCCAGGCTGAGGGCCTCACTGGTGCACTGCTGGGCTTCCAGGTGAGGTGGGGGCCTCTCCAATGCTTTGCAGATACCTCCTCTGTCCTGTCACAGCCAGGCTGCAGGGCCCAGCTGTTCAGCAACCCTCTCAGATAGGGTGGGGGAGAAAGACAGAGCTGCCCAGTGTGGGCAGCAGGCTAGAAGGGCTTGTTCAACCACTACCCAAAATGTTCAGAATGGGAAGTAACTGGACAGAGGATTCATCAACAAGGAACACCAAGAGACTGCTAGGGAACTGGAAGAGACATCACCAAGATCACGGTCTGGTGGACAGGCCTAGAGCAATGAGACAGAGCAGGTTGGCTGACCTGGGCACTCCCTGGACTTCACCTGCAGCATCAGGGGGCTGGGCCACCTTCAAATCCCAGCACATGATTGGGGTCATCACTCCTCTTTCTAGAGCCCACTATGGCAGCGTGAAGGTTTGCCAAGGGCTGAAGATAGTGCCAAACGTGTTTCCACTGGTGCCATGGGTTCTCAGGAACAAAACTCCTTACACCAACCAAAGGCTGAGGGTGTGGTCACCTGCACCTGTCCATGTAGTGTCATGTCAAATTCATGCCTGCCATTGCCTACCTAGTGTGGCCCAAGGCCACCAAATGTCCAAGCTTGATGCTATCCACTCTAGGGAGGGAGCAACTCTGAGAGGAAGAGGAGCAGGAGGCCCCTTTATTATTTTTTATTTTTAAAATTTTTTTCATTTTATGTGTATGAGTGTTATGCCTGCATGTAGGTAAGTGCACCCATGTCATCAATGCCCATGGAGGACAGAAGAGGCTGTCGGATCCCCTGGAACTGGAGTCACAGACAGTTGTTAGCTGTCATGTGAGTTCTGGGATTCAATTGGGTCTTCTGTAAGAACAGTCAGTGTTCTTAACCACTGAGCCACCTCTCCAGCCTCAGGAGGCCATTTTTTTTTTATTTATTTTTATTTTATGTGTGTGCATGTATTGCCTGCATGTAGGTAAGTGCATCCGTGTTGTGCAATGCCCACAGAGGACAGAAGAGGCTGTCAGATCCCCCTGGAACTGGAATTATAGACAGCTGTTAGTCACCATGTGGGTGTTGGG